AAGTTAAGCAAAGCTGCTTAAAAATCTGCTCCGTAAGTTCTTAAGAGACTGGTTTATTCAGTGCTCTAGCTAGAAATTCCAACGTCTGAGCGTATACAATTTTGTGCTTAAACAGCTTGCGAATTATAAGCAGTTTGTCAGGATATCAGCTCTTGTGTGATTTTCGAATATGATCAATTAAGCATTATATAAGAGTATTTTTTACAGATTTTTAATTAAATTGCTTTTGACATGAGTTTTCAACGTACTTTTCACTTTTGCGGGAATTGAAGTGAATTGAATGAAAAGTGGAAAATTGTTTTTAGGGTACATTTTCCCCGAATGTGTCACTTTTGTGGGAAAATACCCAAATAAGTTAGTATCGCTTAGTGCGGCACAGTGGCAATTATCGGCATCGTAACTAAGATTTTCTGGTGCATCAAAGTGAAAGACAAAGTTTTCAATTCAAGGAATAGTCCACAAAGTAAATGAGGATTTCATTTCATGAGCTCTCGAGCAATTATATTTTCTATTTGTAGTTGATTCTATTCAATTGTTATCTGATATATTCATATTTAAGTCAGCCCCCTTCCACTTGCTTGTATTGCGGCAAAGTCTTTAAAATGCATACTCAAACATAAACCAATGAAATTTAATAGTTTGCGTATTTGCATTTCAGTTTCTTTGTGCTACTTGTAAAAGTTTGGCGTTTCCATGCTTTCTGACATTTTAATGCACGAGTCAAAAGTGTGCTATTATTTACAATGGTAGCACAAGAGAACTTCATCAGAAATATTCTCAACATTATCATCATCATCATCAGCATCATGACTGTAATCGTTTGTCGCCTTCAGTCGTGCCATTTTTTGTTGTTGCGCAGTTCTCGGCAATTTTTAAGTGGCCATCAGTCAGTGAGAAAAGGGCGCAGCAAAGTGGGCGGTCAGGGGTAGACTTGAAACGCTTGAACTTGATCCTACGAAGGCTGCATACAATGAACAAATAAGGACAACAGCCTCGACCTTTGGACTGTGCCATACTCGTGCATTTGCACTCGGGTGATTTTTTTTGATGCTGCAGCAACAGCTAGCATGGAAAAATCAGCACGTAAAGTAAACTGCTGACGATTTTTTTCAGCTCTTCTTCTTCTATTATTTGTTGGCCTGTTGCAGTAAAATCAAAAAAAAAAAGACAACTGAAAAGCTGTCAAAACCCTAGCTGAGGTCCGCAGCGTCATATCGATTATTGAGCATTCCCCGAAGAGAGACCATCGTGAACGCATGTAAATTAGGTTCGATACGAATTCCAGTTACGGCTGAAATTCGCCTGAAATTCACCTGTCTGGAATGTGTAAATGGGTTTGTGGGGCCATTTGGTACAAGGTCGGAGCTGCAGAGGTCCAGCATAACAAACAAATATCACGACCAGCTGCATTTTTCTGTTTTTTTTTATTGTTAGTCAGTAGCTTTTTCGTTTTGCTTTTGCCTTCGCATCGTTTGTCATTTATGATACCCTTGCCAAATGTGTTGGCAACTGTCACGGACTATATGCCACAAAGCCAGAATGTATAACAATATAAGAATCGAAAGGGATCATAAAAAAATGTTCGTAGCATATTGCATTTTGCTTGGGAAAAGAGGCACATATAATTATTTAATTTGCCATATATTCGTTGTTTAACGCTTGTAATTCGCAACAAGTTAAAGTTTCGAAAATGCATAAAACGAAACCTACTTGGTTTTAGATTCTAGTATTAAAGTGGCTTGGATATTATTTATATAAGTATAATTCTTATTTCTGACAGCTCGTATTGCAAATTATATCTTACAAGTGCATTTTATCTCTGACATACTTCAATGCTATTCACTTCTACTTGTCTTTCTCTCTCACTCTCTCCCTCTTTGTCTTTCTCTCCTTGCACAACTACATAAAATATTCATAGCACTGTGGCAAGACTCCAGCGATGTCCTTGTCCGCCGGGTTTAGTCCTTGTCGTTGTTGGTAATCGCAAATTCAGCGCTAAATCTCAATCAAAATGCGCGTAAAGTGGCATTTCACTTGATTTTTATGAATTCGAAATGCGCCATTTTTGTTGATTGAATGCTAAAAAGATGCTCAAAAATATTTTTGTGCAAGCGAACAACTTAACGAGTCAAATCAACCGCGCGTTTTCACAGACCTCAAGTTGTAAGTACTGTTGCAGTAAACGGAAGCTAAAAGCTTAAGGCATCTGTAATAACTTTATGATAGCTTCAACATTTAAGAAATTTAAATGAATGATGATTGTAAATACAAGGTAGGATGATAAGGCAGGACGAACAGATACTTTGTTGCAGCTTAGCAGTCCTCTTTGTGGTTTTGTTAATTGATAGAACTTAAACCAAAGTAAAGACTGAGAATTACATAATTGTAATCTAAAGTAACAGCAATCTTTCATCTTTTCTTTTGACTGACTGGCCGACTGATTGGTAATCAATAGATAGACCAAGCCGTAAGAGCAAGGAAACTGGATTTTTTACGGTAGTTACTTTAAGGGGAAATTCGGGAAATTCCACACGCATATGTGGAAAAATCGTGAAAAACGTTTGTATGAAACGTTTTGTTTACTATTCGTTCGGCTTCAAACTCTCTTTCATAGATCTTTGTAAAAATTCATTTGAGGGGTGTTTCACAATTTTGTTTCACATTTAACAGTGTTGCCACCTTGTTTTGCATAATACACATGGTAACACTGCTTACATAAAAAACACGCCCAGGAAATTAACATAAATATGTTGTTCATATTTATCAATAGATGAATTTATAGGTATGAATTTATAGATAAGCTGAAAAATACATTTTAGTTGAAACACAATTTTTTGTTAGTTTCCAATAAAATAGCAAATTTTTGTCAAGGAAAATTTTAACCCTAAATCTATAGTTTTTTTGGTAAAAGGATTGCATCGATTTGCTGGCAAGTGTTGCTGACATTTGCATATTATTTTCACCCAGCAACCACCCCACCCCACCCCACACCGCACAAACAGAAAAGGGAACTCAAATTGCATTTCCATTTAATCCGCTCAATTTGTCGCCAGTTTTTAATGGCGCCGACTGAAAACTTGCAAACGCCTTGCCTTGAACACAAAATGCATTTCATTAGAATTTCAAAAGCTTAAGGCAAGAAAATATGAAAATAACAACAACAATAACAACAACACGAGCAGGAAAAAGTGGCGCACAGAATCGAGACACTTACTAAGTGAATTAATGTTTTTATCAAAAGTTTTTGAGCGCGTTGTTTTGACGCTTTTTTCTGTTTGTTTTTTTATTTTGATTTTTATTTATTTTATTATTTTTTTACCTTCCGCATAAATTCTCATATACGAGCGCATTTCTACGTGGTGTGCGTGTGTGCATATGTTTTTTCTTTGCTTAAAATTTGCAATTTAAATGTAATTTCTCAACTGTTTATTTGGTTTATGACGAGTGCGCGCGCTCTGATTTAACAGCCAGCGACAGCGGGCGGCGAGGCGTGGCTTGGCCCGTTTTTAAAGATGACAGCATGAATGATGACCAGCTGCAGATACAAAAAAATACATATATATATATATATATATATATGGATATATATATGTATAGGTGCCTGCCGGTATTACACCCATTTAAAATGAAAGGTAACAAAGACTTCTTTGTACAGCCTTTTTGGCGTGTTCTCTTCTTACAATTGAGTTATCCCGGCGCTCAAACACGTTCGTTTATAATAACATTATCCACATGCCAAAAACTTCAGGCCCACGTCAGGCAAATCAACACTTGTAGTATATGGCTTGGCGCCCGAAAGGCTGCCACAATTCATCGATACAAGCTCTTGTATAAATTTCAATGAACAATTTTCCATTGTCTGTGAAACATTTTGCCAACATTGGCACGTTTTATGGGTAGCAAAATACAGATACATGATAAATTGGCAATTCAAACAAAGCCCGGAAAAACGGGCCGGCACTTGTACAGCTTGAATGTCATGACATCGAGCTTGGCACGCGGCAACAATTTGGACTCTAAATGCTCTTGCTGGTCCATCAATTTTGCTTATTTGAATGGTCGTGATTTTCAGGCAGCCTTAAGACAGAGACAACAAATTCCAACAGATTCAAAGCTTTGGGAGAAGCGTGGAATTCGTCTCATATGAATTTTTATAAAGTCCCTTGGCAATTTTTTGAAATGGATTTTCCGAAAACTGTGAAGCACTTCTTAAATGAATTTAAAAAAGTATGTGTGGAAAGGAGTTTGAAGCCGCTCAGATTGTATGACAAATGTTAAGTTCAAACGATTTTCGCGCTTTTTTCATATTTGCGGTTGGAATTTCACAAAAGCCCCGTCTTAGCGTGCACCTTTAGCAGTAAAAATGTCATCTTCCTAGTTCTTACGGCAATCAATCAGTCAGTCAGTCAGTCAGTTAGTCAATCAGCCAGTCAGTCAGTTAGTCAATCAGTCAGTCAGTCAGTAAGTCAGTCGGTCAGTCAATCAGTCAGTCAGGCCAAACAGTTTTATATATAGAGATATACGGTGTCCTATAAGTTTTGCAAATACTCCGTTTTCTGTCTAAAATCAGCAGCAATCAAACTTTTAAACTACATTAACTTGTTCAAAACTCAATCGATTTTGGTGCTTGGTGCAATTTTGGTCATGTTTTGACCTCAAGTTTGGTCGGCTCAATTCTATTCATATTTGCAAACAAAATTCTGCAATGCCACGAAATCTACTAAATGAATGGCCACAAACTTTTCTTCTAGCTGTCCCATCTATATGTTGTATGGTAAGTGGCTGTACGCCTTTCTGGCTTCTGCACTTCTTCTCTGCTTAAAGCATTTACTTTTATTATTGAACTCAACGAAAGCTGTTGGCTTTAACTGCTTCTGGCTGTCGACTGGCTGCGATGTCGCTTTGCCTGGCACAACTGTTTTGTTTCTTTTTTTTTGCCTTTGGGGGGCGGGCGATTTCTGCGAGTAGCCCCAACCAGAACCAGAAGAAGTGCATTCGAAATGCAGCAGTTGCAAAGTCTTTTTAGTCATTAACGAAATGGATTTGGGCGAGCGCACACGATGCATTTCCATTACTTGGGCATTATTCATCATAGTCTGTCAAACGATGTGCGAGTCCCGCTATATAAGTGGGAGTCCGAGCCAGAACTTTGCACTGAATATGCCCACGCTAAATGCTGCCTACTACAGTCACACAATACTCTTTCTGACCGGTCTATGCACACTGTCCTTAACGCTGCTCGGCTGTCTGGGTAAGTCCTGATGCTCAGCATTATGTCAGAGAATTCTAACTGGTTGTTAATTCCGTAAAAAAGGATGCCTTTGCTGCAGCTGTTGCCGCAGATCGCGTCGGAAAGCTGCGAGCCTGGACGCCTATGCTCCGCGCACGCAGAGTATTGTGTGGCCAGCATTGCCCGCCGAAACGGCCCGTGTCGTCGAGGTGACCTTTCTGCATACGCCCGGTGCCTTGGATTGCCTGTGCCGTGGCTGCTGCCAGACAAGGAATGTGCTCTGCCTGGAGGATTGTCTGAATGCAACGGAATGTTGACTCGAATGCCAAGTGATTTTCCTTACAATTTACTTTAAATACAATATTGTAATAGGTCTAAGCAAATCGACGACAATTGAAGCCTTTAATTATGTATAATCTTTTAAGAAATCACTTTCATATATTCACTATTTAAATGAGCATCTATATATGTGTGCATATTACACTTTGTTCTGACTGAACAATCTCCCCCCTGTGGGCGGAAAATTGAGGACTGAGGATGAATTGGCAATTGTTTTAATTACGTGCTATTGAATTTAAACTGATTTCGAAAACTATACGTTTTAAAATGTTAAATAAAAATTGTACCCCCACATCTGAAAAGTGGGTAAAAAAACTAGTGATTGCAATTTTTTTGTATTCGCCCCATCAACTCCAATCTTATTTTCACACAGTTATGTAAAATATTATTTGAAGCGCTATTTACCGAACGCGGAAATTTTCTCCGTTGGGTGCAAACGGGGTTGAGCGTACCATGGCAAGGTTTAAATTATTTCGCAAGCGTGATTTGTGCACGTATATATGTGCGTGTGAATTTATATGTATGCATATGTGTATGTACATATGTATCTTTGTATTTATGTATGAATGTGATACGTGTTTGTACGAACGTATGCATGTTTGTATGTATGTATGTATGTAGGTAGGCATGCATTTATGTATGTGTAAAAATACTACCCTACTATGCGATTCTCACTATATGAAGTACGCAGGGTTTAATGCATACATACATAAGCACGTATAAGGGAAATATAAAAATCGCGTGTATGTAAGATTTTGTGTAAGTTCATACATTTCATATTTACATATTTTTATATAAAACAATAATTCAGACCTCGGCACGGACTATCTCCCAGAAATGTCTGTTGTCGCAAAATCTTACGAAACAGTTTCACAAAGTTCTTATTATATCTGCACTTGATGTTTCTATCTTGTAACGACCAATCTAAATGTTCGTACCTTCCCCCACAGCTGTTTTTCGATTTAAATAAAGCTTAGTACAGACTTCATGCCAAAGTATTTGCCGCTGGTAGCTTTAGTTTGTGCGCATAAGCCAAAGAAAGTACAATACAGTAAATATGAAGGCGGCACAAAGTAAAAATATGGAAAAGTTGCTGTTGCTGTTTCTGCTGCTCATTGGTTATCCCCAACTCTTTGAAGCGAGCAACTTTACAGGCAAGTTGAAAAACTTGGTCAGCTGCCTGAAAGTTAAATTTATTTTAATTGTTGCAGAAGATTATTGGCTAACGGAGTCACAATCAGTGGAGGAGGACGATAATGCAACAACTATTTCGAGTGGCTATAGAATTATTAGCGACAATAACGATAAAAATAGCATTTATATTCCTGTCGATCCATTGATGAGGGTGGCCTTTGTGGCCCTGCTGCTGCACGTACTCATCGTTGGTGGAGGTGGGTTTCAATTTTCGAAATAACCAACTGTTAATTTCACTAATCTGGCAACACTGTCAGGCATTATCATCTACAGCGTTGTCTACTGCAAGTCACGTACTGATAAAAAGCGACTGATGGAGATGAAACGTCGTCTGCAAAGTCCACCAACACTGCAGCATTTGCCCAACAGCCAGAATTGTCCTTGTCATGGCTGTCGTGTAGCCAGACAAATTCTAAGCGGGCTGATCGTACAGCAGATTATAACAGAGCGTTCAGAGTGTTAGCGACAACGATAAGCTTTTAGCGCTGGTCACACTCTTGTAGTTTTAGGCATGCAAGCATGGAACACCTTGTAGTAGGTATGTGCATCAATGCATATGAGCGATTAAATGTGAAAATCTATCAATTGTAAACGGTGTGCATGATTACAGTCAAACAGTGTGAAATATACTCTAACAAATTCGATTGCTACTTTACCTTGACATAAAGATCGCTTTAATAAATACCAAAAGGCCGCAACATACCCATGCAATATATCGATACCCGGATCGATAGTTTGCCCAATAAGTGGCTCATGCACAGCCAACTTAATAAAGCCCCCATTTTGCCTGTTTACAAATTGGAAAATTTGCGAATTTATGGAATAGAATTTCAAAAACCTTACAATTTGGCTATGACCTCGAATCCGAAAAAGTGTCCTATGGACAATAACAACAACAGCGATTCGGATAGTTTGTACTATGAGGTGCAGGAGAGTTTTCCATTTGCGCGGCACAGTCGACCGTTGCTGGTGGCCAATTGCTCAGAGTACGCGGTGGCCCATTCTAATGGGCGCCTAAAGCCGGCGCGTCACCTGAACGAAGTGACCTTTCTGCCACACATCCTGAATGCCATGCGCCGCCTGAGATTTACTCACCTGCTGCGACTGCAAAGCTACGCCTGGCCACACCTCGGCCAGGGTGAGGGCCATGGTGCTGTTATTGTGAGTGCGCCGCGCAGTGGACGCACCTTGAGCTATGTGCCGCCGTTGTGCCAGGTAGTGTGCACTACCTTAACGGAGCAGCGTTGTCGCATGCAGCGCTGCTGGCAGCTGCAGGGTCCCATTGCCTTAGTGCTAGTCGCAGATTTGGATCGCGTGCAGCAAACTGGCAGCCTGTGCAATGCAATGCTCCGCAAGGCCAGGAACGAGGAGTGGCTGACGTTGGTGCTAACGGTGCCCTCGGCCCGCACACCGGAACTCTTTCAGCGGCTGCTCAACGGCGTCGGCTGTCTGGTGGCCACGCCGGCGCAGTTCCTATGGCTATGCGGGAATGGCGTCAAGTTGCCTTCTTTGCGCTTTGTGGCCTACGATGATGTGGACTTGATGCCGGCGGATCAGCTGCAAGACGCGCATCAACAGCTGCTGCTGCTGACCAGGCAACAACGCCCCCAGTTGGTCATCAACACCCAGTCGTATGACCCAAAGCTGTTGCACATGCTGCGCGAGTTTAATTCACAGCCCATGGTCCTGTTTGGCGATGTGCTGGAGGCGGCTGTCTATGGGGGCACACGGATGCGCATCTCACTGTTAAGGCATGCCGCCAAGTCTGAGGAGCTGTTGCGTGTGCTGCGCGAACGTCCGCCGCATTTGCGTCGCACTGTCATCAATTGTCACACGGATGCGGACATGCGCGAACTGGTGCGGACACTGAAAGCGCATGGCTATGGTTGTTTGCCCTATTACCAGACGGCTGACTTGGCTGTGCGCGAACAGGTGCATCGCTGGATGCAAGACAGTCGCGGCGAGCTGTTGCTCTGCACCGATCACTGTCCGGAGCTGGATATACGACATGCGCATACGCTGCTGCACTACAGCATGAGCGCTAACTGGAGCCTGTTCAAGCTACGTCATCTGGCGCTGGCGGACAATTTGTGCAATAGACTGGCACTCACGCAGCCAGGCGAGCAGTCGGAGTCAGGTGAGTTGCTCTGACATTGAGAAGCACATCATCATGTCTACTTGACTTCAGATACGCTACTCTCGCTGGTGCTGCTCGACGAGAGCAACCATAAACAGCTGCCGCGTCTGGTGGACTTTCTGCAAATGCATCAGCATGTGGACGAGCGCATCGTGCAACTTGCGCGTCATATACGCGCGCAGCTGGAGCTCGCCAAGTGCAATGAGCCGGCATTGTGTGATCTGCTGCTCAGCCTGGGCGAGTGTGTGGGCGCACAGTGCGAGCAGCGTCATCAGCTGCTGCCACAGGATCGCCAGCTGGCCGTGCCGCTGCCCGCCGGCGGCGATGTCAAGATGCAGCTGATACGAGTCTATACGCCGGCGCATTACTGTGTGCGTCTGTTGGAGCATTTGCCGCTTGGCGGCAGCTGGCAAACGCTGCCGCGCGACGCAACGCTGGACCTGCAGCTGCAGCTGCTGCAATCGCAACAGTGTGTGCGTCACTGGCCGCCGCAGGCCAAAGAAATCTGCATCTATCGCAATGCCAATGGTTATGAGCGTGTGCGCATACTTCGCGTGGCGCACATTGCTCAGGTGAATCTCTCGCGCACCGATGTGGATGTCGAAGTGCAGGCACTCGACGTAGACACGCGTCAGTTTAAGACCACTAGCGGTCATCTGTATATATGTCCGGAGCAGCTGCGAGATGCGCCGCCGTTGGCCATGGATCTGCGCATTCTGGGCCTGGTGCCGCACACTGGCGAACGCAGCTGGCACGAACAGGATGGCCAGCAATGTGCGGCGTGGTTAAATGCTGTGCCGCAGCCCAATTTCTTGCAGGCACGCATTGTGCTGGCGCTGTCGCACACGCTCTTCGTTCAGGACTTGGCCTTGACGAGCTATGCGCCCAGTCTGAAGATGCATGTGCGGCGCCTAACAATGGGCCAGCAGCTGTTGCGCAAGCAATTGGCCAAGAAATGCGAACAGGTCGTGGCAAAGCAATTGCAATTCTTCGAACAGGACAGCAACCAGGCCTTGATAGAGCCTCAAGTGGTTCAGCAACGGGAAATGCCAAAGCTACTGACAGCCACGCCGCTCGCCAGCAGGTGCGGCATCTTTGCCAAAATGGCCATGCAGCTGGGCAAGGAGAATAGACTGCGCTTGGAGCGCGAGAAAGAGCAACAAGAGGAGCAGCAGCAACTTACGAAAAGAAAACAGACCGAACAGATGGAACTGCAGCAGCCGGATGACAGCATAGAAGCTTTATACAATTGCCTAATGAACTGCACGCTCATGGAGTTGACAGACAAGTGCTCACACGAGCAGCCGCTGGCAGCTGACCCAAAGAACAAGCCCGAAGGTTCGCTCAGTGAAACCATGGATCCGCAGTCGGAGCTGCCGCCAACTATGCCAGCGACCGTGAAGCGCAGGAATAAACGAAAATCGGTTGCAGTCAGCGAAAAAGTTCACGATATGCAGCTACAGATTCCGGCGGATGTCCTGCGCCCTGAGGTGCTGTATTATCAAACGCGTTGCACTCTGGAACTACAGATTGTGCTACCCGAGGATAACTTGCCCTATGAGGCACTGCTGCACAATGGCTGTTGCATTGCCTTCTGGACACTGTGCACAAGCGCCACGCCCATTTATCAGTTTATATTGAACACACACTGCGCCTACCAGCAGCTCAGCCATCACAGGCAGGGTCGCACCGTCTATGTGAGCCTGCTCAAGTCTCTGGCTGTCACATATCCACTCGACTTTGGTTTCTACAAATTCATGAAACCACATCATGAGAAGCTGCATCTTCTGGAAAAGGAGCGCCGCGCGCGAATTGCCAACTTTGAGGCGTATTTGCTGCATAAAGGTTATATCCCGGGCAGAGTGGCAAACCGTGCGAACAGTTCGGACGAGCTGAGCAGCGACGAGCAGGCGGATGAGATGTCATCCGACCCACGCATGGAGCGTGTGGAACGCGCTCGAGATGGCACTGAATTCAATTGCGATTAGGTACGTGGCCATGAAATGCATTTTACTTTACGTTTTCGCTGGGGGGTAGTTTGATAAGTTCGTTCTACATAGCGCCAATGGAGCTTTATCAGAATTCTTCGGCAGCTCTACCCAGTTTATATTTGAATTATCTTTTTAATTATCATGCACATTTTTATTCGAACTTTAACTTGTAAGGGCATTGTAGGACATATTCGCTTAAATAACATTTTTTAAAAAGGAGCTGGGAATGAAATGTTTCCTTAAATTATTTTAATATGAATAATAAGAATAATTATATTTGTATATAAATATTTGCACCGGTTTTGAACGGAACAGATTTCTTAACCAAATCTTAAATTTAGTACATTTCGCAACAAATAATCGAATCTAAATCTGAATATATTTTTATATATTAAAATATAATTTTTCTTTGTTTCCAACATTATGAAAATGGCACTATTTAGTTGTCTGCAAATATGAATTATACTTAAATCTATATATTAAAAACACGTATAGGAATAAACTAAATCGTGAAATTGGAAATTGAAAAAAAAGTGCAACGAACCAACGTTCTGTAGAGTGCCAAAAGGTACACAAACATTGAACCGTCATCGAAAAGTTACTGGTTCAAAATCAGGATTCTTAGGAACAACAATTATTTAAGAATAATAAAACAAATATTTTGAGCACATAAATATTCCAAATTTAAAAAATTTATATTGAAATATTTTGAAATTAAATAATTTGATTGCTTTTCAAATATATGATCTCCTTTGTCTGAGATATTTTTATATTATATATCATATATTATGTATCATACATTATAAATATATTATATATTATATATTATATATCATATATTGTGTATCATACATTATAAATATATTATATATTATATATTATATATTATATATTATATATTATATATTATATATTATATATTATATATTATATATTATATATTATATATTATATATTATATATTATATATTATATATTATATATTATATATTATATATTATATATTATATATTATATATTATATATTATATATTATATATTATATATTATATATTATATATTATATATTATATATAGTATATGTATATTATATACACTTGCATGGTATGCAATTATCTTAGTTTGATTCCTGCTCCCAGAGCTTCATCTTTTTACGTACAGCTGTAAGAAATAAATATCTTCCCAGAGCTGAAGTTTCTTCTAAGAAAACTTGAGTTTTTCTTTATATATAGCACACACTGTGAGATTCTTTACGCCATCGAATGACAATAGTTATTATTTCTATCAGTTGGCTGTCATTGTCAGCTGCTTAGTTTTATCGTGTGCAATGTGCATTTGGCTGACAGAACAGGTGAATGGAGAACAGAAATGTGTCTGTCATTTGGGAAAAGTGTTTGCGAGTCATGTGACAGCGTAATGTACGGACGGGCAGACATCAGACAAGAATTCTATATGTGCAAAAAGTATGAAGCATGGCAATAAATGCCATATAGGGGCACAAAATGTGTACCTGTGTGTGTGTGTGAAAACTATTTACTTAAAGCTTGATTGATGATAACGAAAAACAAAAGATTATTTCAGGTATTTCATTAAATACGAATTTCAGAGGCCTTCACAATACTTTTGTTAAGTTCTTGTTAAAGTAGGATATTATGATTTAAGCATTGAATTAACTTTGAAATGGAATTTATTGTTTTAAAATTCGGTTTGACTAAGTTAAAGAGCTGCAGAGCTTTAATAGAGACAAGTAGACAGTCAGCAAAATAATTAAATCACTGCACATTTTCGATAAATATTTAAATATTTTTCAGAAGCATCTGTTAGACTAGTCGGTAATTGTTTTGAATGCAGCACTTGCAAAGAGAATTAAAAACCATTCAAAACTCCTTTTTTATAAAAGGTTTAACTCGACATCTCATTATTAAATCGTATATCTGAAGTACTTTGGTGTTTATTGCGCGATCTTAATCAAATTTGGTGGGGGAGGTATCCAAAAATATAAATTTTATGGATCTGTGTATTCTTATCGATTTTAATCGGAATGCAAACGAAGAAACTTATCGATTATGTGAATCAAATTTGATCTGTTCGAAGGAGGAAGAGCTGTGTTTTAAGTTAAAAGTCTCTAGCTTTTATAGGTTCAGCGACTGAATCTGATGAAGAACATATATACTCTGGGAGAAGCCTCATAAACGATTTCATTGAAACAGAGAAACCTATCGATTTCTTGAAGCAAACTCTGCCTGTGCGGTCGGTGGAGTAGGAGCTGTGTTCATAAGAAGAATATGTATACTTATGAAGCAGCTTCCCAATTGATTTCATGAAAACGAAAAAACTTATCGATTATTTAATGCAAAATTGATCTGCGCGGTCATTAGTTTAGTTATGATGAAAATTTTAAATCTAGCTTTAATATTTTCGACGATTGAACCTGATTGAAGATTATTTGGAATATGTATACATTCTGCGAAGCTCCTAATCGATTTTATGAAAGCGGAGGAATTTATCGATTATTTGAAACAAGGTTGATCTGTGCGGGCGGAGGAGGAGGAGCGTTATTCAAAATCTAGTCTCTAGCTTTTATATTTCCGGCGGTTCAAGCTGATGAATATACATATATTATTTTGGAGAAGTTTCCGAATCATTTTCATGGAAACGGATAAATTTATCGATGCTTTAAAGCAAGTTACATCTCTGAAGCTAATTAAGAATATATATTCCTTCCGAGATGCAAAATTGGGTCAGCACAAAAGTTGGGCAAGTGGGTAAGACGTTCCCAACTCCAGACAACTTCTGCACAACCCGCTTTACTTATTTATTCAGGCAGAAATCTGCATTTTAAATTAATATTCAGATGTGTTAAAATATTATTGTTGTTGCCTTTAAGCTGAAGTTGCGCTTAAAAACACATAAATGTCAATGTTAGCCGCAAATAACTAATACAATCAGTGAGACACACACACATACACGCACACACAGCTGCAGTTGCATTGTCGTAAAAATTGTAGCTGTAAAAGCCATAAAAACAATACGTAGCACTGCGGTGTGGGCGTGGCATTATGCTGGGCAGGCTCCCCCTCCGCCTCGGTTTGGTTGTCGACAAGGCAAAGAGTCGGATATAAAGGATAAAGGATACAGGGTACAGGAAACAAGGGGACTTGCACAAGCTGTTTAACAACTTAGCTAAGCATTGTTGTTGCTGTTGCTATTGTTATTGTTGTGCTGACTGGTGTTAAGGTCAAAGTTCGCAGCATTTACTCAGGGTAAAATGTGTCCGCAAAAGGACGTGCATCCTGTGCACTAAGCACGCACGTGAGACCTAAATATAAGTATATACAACACATATTTATAATAAAAAACAATCCCCAAATGAGCTTAAATAAAAACTGAAAAATTCCCAGCATTAATCTTTGTTATATATCTTATTAAATATTGGCCAAGGTCAGGAAATTCAATTTTGTAAATTCTTTTTTTTATCGCTCTCTGATTGATTTATTTATTTACTTTGATTTGCGTCATTCGACGGATGTCTTGTGGCCAAATGCAAATGCTTGGCATTTGTATCTTACGCCGAGGCAGACGCTTTCCCTGGAAATCTCCTCCATAAATACCGCAGAAATCAACTTGCACTAAGCAAGTGGTTAAAACGGGATAACATCATTTTGTAAGCATACAAATTTGAATTTATTTTATTATTTATTCGCTGTGCAATTGCCTTTCGTTTAGTTATACAGGATGCGGAGCGACTTTGCTTTAAATTTAAGTAAGGAAAATAAGTTTAACTCAAGATTGTTTTGCCTGAACTTACGTATTTAAGCCGTCAAGAGTGAGCAGAGTTAAAAGCCACTTTTAACTCTTAATCAATACGACTTAAGTGGTTGAGAAAGTAGGGCAGGAACAGCTTTTGAAGCTTCAGTCTGAGAAATAACGAAGCATATTTAATAGAGCGCAGTACGCCTTCAATTTAGATGTGTTTCGACTTAAATTTTTCATATTTCAGGCTACTTTTTTATTCCTAAATTACTTTTTGTTTAGGCTGCGATCTGTATGAGATTATTAAGCGTTTAGTTTAAATAAGTGCATATGCCAATTTAAATTAAAATTAAACTGTGATGTCTTTCGTCTGAGATGTCATGGGTTCCCTTCACGTTTCTGGTAATTATATATCTTAGTTTGGACAAGCGAAAGGTATCCAAAAGTATGCTTGAATAGGTCTTCACAACTCTAAAGCCATGCTAAACAATATCTAATAATTCAAATGTAGGCAAAGTAACCTTTTAGTCTCTAAGGTCACCGCCTCCATGCTTCATTCTAAGTATGTATATTCACACGGACAATCAGACGTACGAATATATTTGTCCCAATTCAACTCGACTGTTGAAGCACTTAACTAATTTTTGGGCTTGCACATGACTACCATATTAAAGTTTTTTTTCAATGGATACACGACACAACAATGACAGCTGAAAAGCCTGATGCGATTGTAAATGCCTAAATTCTAAATTTAAAGGAATTATCTTTCTAAATGCAGGCTAACCTAAACAGGTTTCATATAATATGGTCTAGAAATTCGAAAATTGAATACATTTGTAGACATTTGAAGACATTTGTGAATACTTAGTTTGATGAAAATATCTAAGAAATCTGAATGTTTTTCCATATAAAAGCCTACTCATTGACTGATCTTTCTTATGGCAGCTTTATGGTATAGTGTTCCGATGTTGAAAAGATTTTGCATATACATGTATAGGAATTATGGTGGAACTTCTAAACGCCTTGTAAACGTTTGGGCAATATATATCGTGATAATAAAATAAGTTTTCTGTACAAGAACCTACTATGGACCGATTGTTTCTATGGAAGCTATATGATATAGTGGTCCGATCCGGAAGTTTCCGATATATGTACTGCCTGCAACAGAAAGACGGTCCTATGCAAAGTTTCAAGAGGATTTCTTTAAAACTGAGAGACAAGTTCGCATAGAAACAGATTGGCGGACAGACGGACGGGCATGTCTCCTTATAAATCTTATCACAAAATTATAATATCCTTATATAACAATTTTGTATCATCAGAGAATCACAAATTTTCTATGAGATTTATGTAAAACAAAAGGTTTATTTGAAATGGCACCTTCTTGACTTTAGCTGATTGGCAAACAAAAGTCTGTTTAAAAAAGTTACTGATATCTATTTTGTGTTGCCTACTTATTGGGACAAAATATTGAACTAGCTGCAGTTGTTTAAATTTGTTTTAGTTGCTGAGCTGCCGCGCATTACGCATACGTCCTATGTAACAAGCGAGGCCATGTGTCAAAAGTTCAAGCAATCAATCAAAAGGCTAGCTTTGATTTTGCATAAAAGAACGGATAGGATAGATGGAACACCTGTTGTGGGCGTAAAAGATATCGTATAAAGCTGCTCAGAACTTACCTGCCAGATATTTGTTGTTGTCCTTGTTGCTGTTGCTTTTGTTGTTGTTGTTGTATTTAATTCCTCAGCTTTAAATCGTTAATTGTTGGCTATGTAAAGAGACGACAATAATAAAAAGAAAAAATCTCAGCCAGAAAAAGCCAGGGGCAAAGATGGAAAAGCCCAAGTTGAGCCAAAGGCAAAAACGCACACGGCACAGGACGCGCCAGGACAAGCGAATCTGTGTGTGAGCAGGAAACAACGCACGTTCACGTCGAGCAGGAACCAGGAAGGAACCAGGCACAAGACAAACAGGCAGGAAAGCAAAAAGCGACGACGACGACGACGACGATGACGACGACTTTGGCGAGCATTGACGAGCGGCAGCCAAGGACAAGGAAACTGAGGTAACAACAGCAATAACTATAACAAAAGCAAACGGGGCAAATAATATAAAAAAAGAAGAAAATACAGCCCAAAGTAACGAAGTTGAAATACCCTAGCCAAATACTATAACTCTAATCAAACAAATTAATAAAATTACCTTGTCTTGGTTTGATTGTAATTTTAATCTGAACGCTATCTTTAAAATTGAGCGCCTTGCTAGGGGAAAATGCTCTTCGGACGGAGGCTATAATCGATATTCAACTCGTTTCATTTATAATATAAATATTAACTTAAGCCTTGCGTTACATATTTAATGACAAAATCAACGAAGCCCCATGGCGAGCGCGCAAAAAACGTGAAGAAAAAGTGAAAGAGGGAAAGGCAAGCATAGACATTCCAATAACAATGAGCCTGGCGGAGAATAGCAAAGAAGGCAGCAAAAAGTTTGGCCAGGCTCTGCTCAGTTTGTGCCGGGACAGCGCAGGCTGGAATTAATTTTGCGTTCGGCTACGCTTGGCTGCAGCACAGGAGCGTCAGCGGGGGGACGGTGGGTGGGGGGGGGGTCAGCAGGTGTAGGGTCAGGTATACCCCCAAAAAACTTTGTCCAAATATTTGTCGACTACCTTTGGGTTCAAAATGGCTCAAGACCTCTTACATTTTTGGTACAGAACTCAATTGCAGCACTTGGGGGTAACAAATATAATATATATACATACTATGTGTATATATAATATAGATGCCTCAATGTAAAGGATAACACAAGGATAACCTGTAACATATGCATACGAAATGTGCAAAAAAAATATTCTGCACAATAGTTTTCATCTGCTGCATAGGTTAAGCGGAAGGATAATGAAATTCTTGCGAAATGTGAAATTATAATTCGTATTATTTAATTTAATATTTAAAAAGCAGAAGCTTAATTCAAGCGGAATACCCCTAATAAGTAGCAGTTGCTTTGAAATATTCTTTAGGTTATGTATTCTATTTAGAAGCTCACTCCAAATGGAATATCCCTAATTGAAATATTCTCTAGGATATGTATTTGACTTAGAATCGTTCTTCAAGCGGATTACCCCTAATGAGTAGAAGCTTCTTGAAATGTTTTGTAGGATATGTATTCTCTTTAGAATACCCTTAATAAGAAGCAGCTTTTTGGAAAAATTATCTAGGATATGTTTTCTATTCAGAACCTTTCTTCAAACGAAATTTCCCTTATAAGAAGCATTGTTTTTTTTTTTAATATTCTCTAGGATAGGTATTCTATTTACTTATTGTTAAATGTTGTGGAAAATTTTAATTCGCAGTTTTGCGTATGCAAATTTGCAAATTGCTTCCATCTAGATAAATAGCTCTTGTTTTTTTTTAACGATTATTTTTATTATATAAAGAAATGATAGATGTTTCGCGCTTTTATGCCTTCATATGGGAAAGATTTGGTAAGCGATAAAATATGACTTATTTTTGATGGAATTAAGGGAAGCTGGAACACAGCTGCATTAAAATTGAGAATAGTTGTAAGATATAAAATAGTTTCTGAAAGCATATACATAAAATGCTCACAATTATAAAAAAATCAAAAACTATGCAGACTCGTATTGAAATTAAAAAGAATTTATTATAAGTAACAAACTAAGAAACTAAAGATAAATTGTGAGATTTCATATCGAAAAGATTTCTGCTGGCGTTTCACAACACTGCAATATAGGTACAGTTTGTGCCCTACTATACAAGGAAACTATGCCCAGAAATGTAGATGATATTTTGATTATGAAGACCTTAAAATAGTTTCATTTATTAGGAATATATATAAATTTGAAACTACACAGCACTACAAGAAAGTACAATCTACGGCTTATATGAATGAGTCTATTTTATATAATGTTTGAAATTGCAGAAAAATTTTTGGGAACACAAAATATTGTATATGCGTATACATATGCATATAAATATTGTTAATTCGTAATTGAAAAGGATTTCTGCCAGGGTTAATCGACCCTATAAGAAACCTACAGGACCCAAAAATACTTCATAAGCAGTGTAAATCAGTAAACATAAAACATAAACATAAAAATTGGCCGAAACCTTTCGCATTCGCTTTAATAAACCATCAAAAATTATCAAATGAATAAAATTTCAAACTGTAAATTTCCGTTGAAGTTAACAAGCACTATAAATTCATTCGCCTGCCTGAACCGTACTCTTTAAACAGGATGTTGCGGCTGGTCAGTAGCTGTGCATACAACAGTTAATTAGCTGGTAATTAAATGACTGTGAAAACCACTTTGGCAGGATAATGGCATAAGTGCCCAGGATATACGAGAGACGGGCATATGTTTGGCTCCGTTCGCAGCAGAAGCAGAAGCAGCAGCACCAGCAGTCGGGGCCATGACCTGCATCTGATTTCAGCTGGTAAATAGGGTTAATTGAATTTGTCAGCAGCCATGGCTGGCGAGGACGAGGTCCTTGACGCTCAGTTTCTACCTGTTTTTTTGTTGTTTTTTGTTTTAAATTTTCAACTCTTTTCTTTTTGGCATCATCATTTAACGCGCGCCGTCAGTTGTCAATTAAATTGTTTTAAAAATTTAGTCAACTTAGCAGCGGCAGCTAGACGAAGGACACGCGCACTCAATAAGGACAGCCGCACGCACAAAAACACGATTTTATATGTGAATGTAAAACGCACGATAAAAAAAGGTTTTTTTGCATTTAAAAACAATCAAAAAAAGTAAGAAGAGGAAACGATTTGAAAACGCGACTTGCACAATTTTCGCAGCGAAAGCGAATTTATTGAGTTCTTGTTGTTGGTTATAGTTAAAGTTGTTTGTGTTGTTGTTGTTGCTATTGTTTTTGGTTTAGGTGTTAATTGATTGTTAGTTAACATGGGGCAACCACTTTGGCGCACAATTCGAAAGCAACTGAAAGCAAAACCCCAACAGTAACAGCAGCCGCAGCAGCAGCAGCGGCAGCAGCAGCAGCGGCAGCAGCAGCAGCGGCAGCGGCGTACGCGTCGGCCACCCACACAGCGGAGCTTTTGCGTGAGCGCGCTGAAAGCTTTTGCAAGCGCGCGCGCCGCATTTGCTATAAAATTTTTTATGGCGCTGCTCGCAGCGCAGTCAGCGTTACGGTTACGTTTGATTTACAACTTGATTTACTGGAGCCGCCATTTTTCGGCAGAGGCAGCGACAGCGGCAGAGCTTTCAGTTGGTATGTGTAGGTGCTAGTGAGCGTGTGCGTGTGCCCTATTGTAAATTGGATCCTAGAAATATTTATACGCTTAATTATGCGTGCTTGTGTGGGTGTGTCGGATATGTTGCATATTTTTGGGGTGAAGAGCGCTTAGGTAAAAAGTTAAGCCAGAAAATAAACAGTTTTAGCTGCCTACAGCTACCACAGTTAATTTAATAATAAAAACCAAATGCTGCACGCAATATTCAAAAGCTTTAAACTTTGATGAATATATATGCATTTCAAAATTCTTCTTTAAGCCGCTAAGCTAAGCATTGGAATAATATTCGCTTGAGGCACATGAAATTCAAGGAATTTCTGAGCTTATCTTTCATAACACGTGCCGCGGGCTTAAATTATATTCTATGCACAAGTTGAACTTCCACGAATTTTTTGTAGTTATAGCTCCGACTGAGATTTAATTTACGTTCCGGCAGAATTCGTGGAATGTGCAGAATGCTAATTAAAAGTGGTTTTAATTCGGAAATAAAAATAGACATTTATTTAAAATTATTATGCGAAAAAAATAATAAAAAATTGAAATATAGAATTTCCGATAAGCCCAAAAGGTTTGTCTTTAGAAATCTTTCAACTTTTAATATATATATTGAGTACATGGAAATTATTTACTTATCCTTTTTCCAATTTAAAGTATTCGGCAACAAAAGTAATACGTAGCAAATCCTGAGAATTAACATACATATGTATTTATAACATAAATTATGAAAAAATTAATAATTGATAATAATAATTTCTTCTTCACATATGCGAAATATAACACTATTTATTCATTCAAACAAAATTTCGACTAAATTTAAATTAAATTATAATTTTTTAAATATTTATAATGAATTCTGCTGTTGTATCTCCACACTCTTTCAACACATGTTGTCTGCGATCTCTTCTATCCTGCTCTTCCGATTAACTATTCTGAAAACAATTTGGGCATACGAAAAACGCATATAACTGTGCTTTTGGCAGAGTGGGTGACCTTCAGTTCAAAACATGATATACAGTATACAAACACACACACACACACACACATGCACATACACATACACATACACATACACATACATATTGACACCTTCTAGCTGGAGTATGAAAAGCTGTCGCTATCGCTGCCGCTGTCGATGCTGCCTCGACCTAGACACTGAAAGCCACATTGACGCTGCTGCCGTCGACGCTGGCAGCGGCATGGCTAGCTCTACATAGTGTGGGACGATTGGTGATGCTGCGCTAAGCTGCGCTGCTTGCGTTCTGCCGCTGGGACATGTGTTAAAGCTTAGCGTGTATGGAATCAAACGGGAAACTGTTGGCGTCCGGCTGCGTTGCCCTCTTTCGTTTGCTTTACTTTCTCCATGTGTACGTACGTGCGTAGGCGCTGGCGGAACTGGCAGGAAACAGTCGTTCGTTAGGGGAAAACTATAAGGAGATTATAAAAGCAGCGCCAACGGGCGCAATAAAAGTGGACGAGCAGCAACAACAACAACAAAAGCGCAGTTAAATATAATAATAATATGCATAGCTTGAATAATTCTGTAACGCATTTAATGTTCACTTTATTTGACTTTTTTTCAGCAGGCAGGCAAGCATTTGCTTACTGTTGTTGTTGTTGTTGCTGTTGTTGTGCAAGGTTATGAATGAAAAGCTTTTTCAATTCAGCTTCTGTTGGCCCTTCGGCAACATTTCCGATTGTGGCGCAGCTTAAAAAAACTTCGCGCGGCGCATGGCAAGAAAGCCTTGACAGGTCGTTAGCAAGGCATTAAAAAGCCCTGGCAAAAGG